GCCAGGCCTCTTCAGTAAAAAGCGTTCTTGCAACATAAATTATATCAAGGCCCCTCTCTATCTGTGCTGTCCTATTCAACACATTGTACACCAACTGGCTGCTTTGTTCTGATTCCAGGTGCCGCCCAGAGACCCTCAAGAGACGCCAATATCTCGGACCAGCAGGAGATCGAGTCAAAAAGGATCTGATTAAATTCGCCAGGTTCTGTCTTCATGGAGAAGTATGAGAAGATCGGTAAAATCGGTGAGGGATCCTACGGGATTGTCTTTAAATGCAGGAACAGAGACACGGGTCAGATCGTGGCCATTAAGAAGTTCTTGGAATCCGAGGACGACCCAGTGATCAAGAAGATTGCTCTGCGTGAGATCCGCATGCTAAAGGTACCTGAGAGTTATTCTGATATGTGATTCCTGGATAGAAATACTTCTACAGCTGGCAATATTTCTGATTTACTGCATTATGTTTCCAAACGACAGAACATAGTCATAAATAAAGTGTAAAAGTAATAATATGTCTCTGTATGTATAATTAAACTTTGATACAAATAGTACAAAGGAAATACAAAGTTGCACAAGATAAAATTAAGTGAATATTTTTTTGTGCTGTAAACTACAATCAGTAACAGCTTTTATTCTTCATATATAAATCTGATAGAAGCACCAAAAAAATATAAGAAAAGAAGAGGTTATGAATTGCCAATATATATACATTAACAAAATATAATTTCTTTCCCACCAGGAAATAAAGTATGAAAGTACAGGTAGCCCTCAGTTTACACTGTGGTTAGCTTCCTGAGGGAATGGTTGTAAATTGAAACCCAGTATTTAATGTAAGTCAATGGGAAGCGAGGGAGTTATGTTCCAGACCTTTCTCAAAATGTATATAAGTAATAAAATACAAGTACATTATATTTAAAGCTGCTGCATGAGCTCACACAAGGAGCTTTAAAAATGTTATCTGTATAATTACTTATTTCAATTTTGAGAGAGGTTTGGAACCTTTGCACTGACTTACATTATTTACTAGTTTTCAGTTTACAACAGTAGAGGCCACCGAACCTCCACCCCTAACATCAGGTTGGGCCCTGAAGGTACACACAGCCTCTGCCTTCTGTGGGGGTCAAAAAGTTCTCATCATGCATAAATTGCTCCGAGCTAGCCAAAAGGGCCGCCCAAGAACCATAGTGCATAAAAAGCATTAAGGTGCAGTTACCTAGTAACAGTGAATCACAGTGGGGTCTCAAACCCATAGTGATTTTCTGGCACCCCTGAGATGCCACCCCAAGGGGACATAGCATCAGGGGCCTCTGCACCTCCCACCCCTGGCCAGACAAGGGCTGCCCTATTCCTACCTGAAGGTATTAGCACTGGAGAAAAGGCAGAATCAACCCAGAACCCCCCTCCTCCCCCAGTGCACACCTATTACTCCGGCGAATACGAGACTGCCATCTCCTTCTCCAGAGACACACCATTCTCCCTCCAGGAGCTGATAAGAACAGATATTACACTTGGTCTTTCAATTAATCTAATAGGGACACAGAATGGAGGTTCCCAAATGAAAATCACATTCACTGTTAGAATTTTGTTCATGCCAGAAAAATGTAATCCCGCTCCTTTTATTTTTTGAATCTCTGCAGTCGAAAATGATTGTTGCTTTGACCCCATTAACTAGTAGAAGATCGAACAAATGTTCCGAAATGTATTTATTTCGAAGAAATTTCTGCTGGTGTATGGCCGCAGTGAAGTCAGAGTTACTGATCTGCGTATTTATTCCTAGTCCTCTGCTCAGAAATGTTTAAAGCCATTAAAGACATAATTTACCTTTAGCATAAATTTAATAAATGCGCCCACATTAATGAAAAATGTGCAATTAATAAATGATTGCACTGAAGCATGCAGAGCATTGCAACTGCAATCAGTGGATCACAGGGGCAATGCTCAATCTTTTGCAGACTCTTCCTCCAGCTGCAGGTCTGTCTAGAGGTTCACACCTTTGGTAAGGGGACTGGAGGAAATAAACCATGGACTACAAGTGTGGTGATGTCATTACACTTGTACTCCATTGAAAACTATGAGTCCCTTTGCAGTTGTGGCTTGTAGGCTTCCATTCATGGAATTCAAATGAAAACCAAATGTCTGCAGTTCAGATAAGTGTGGGGGTGGTGGCTAGGGAATGAGGCCATGTTTTATCCTAAATAGTGGTTAGCACTTGTGCCTTGCAGCACTGAGGGTCCCCAGCTCAAACCTTGGTCAAGACACTATCTGCAAGGAGTTTGCATATTCTCCCTGTGCTTGTGTGGGTTTCCTCTGGGTACTCTGGTGTCCTCCCACATTCCAAAGACACCTGGAAGTGTAATTGGCTCTCATATGTATGCATGTGAGATAGGGGCCTTAGATTGTAAGCTCCTTGAAGGCAGGGACTGATGTGAATGTGCACTATGTAAATTGTTGGCACTATAAAAATACCTGTAATAAATGAATCATGAAGCATGATCAGAAAGATGGTGTATGCTTTTAAATGACAACCATGTAACTAGCATTCTTGGGAGTCATCACAGCTTCCCTACTTCTCTCAGTTAAAGTGACATTAAACCCTCAGATTTTTTAACATAAACCAATACTGTAATGTGCGCCTTACTGTAATCCATGGTTGTTTTCCTTCTCTTTGCTGCTCTTCCTTTTAAATCCTCATGTCTTCTCATGCTGGGGGAGAACTTCCCTTTGCAGCTGAGTGCCTCTTCCTGTAGTGCTGGCTCAGGTTGTGAACCTGCACACAGACACCATGTATCCATTCCAGAGACAAGGCAGTCTGCTGCAAAACAGAAGTTCTGCCCAGCATGAGAACAGATACAGATTTAAAAGGAAGAGCAGCAAAGAGAAGGGAAACTACCATGGATTACAGTAAGGCGCACATTACAGTATTGTTTTATGTTAAAAAATCTGAGGATTTAATGTCACTTTAAGATTTCTTTTTATTGCAGGCATTTATGCACTGCTTTCCATCCTGCCCCACCCCCTGCCTTCAAGGAGCTTACAGTCTAAGGTCCTTATCTCACATACTAGGACTGACCTGATTTAGACAGTTAACCTTCCAGCATGTCAGAGAGAGAGAACATGCAAACCCCATGCATATAATGTCCTTACTTGGATTTAAACTGGGGACCCCCATTGCCGCAAGGTGGAAGTGGTAACCACTAAGCCACTGTGTTTCTTTTAGTCCCATGCTCTTTGCTTTATGGGCGGGTAGGTCTGTCCTGGGTTAGGGATTCCCTGAGGGATTTGCATTGCATGTCATTGCAATATTTAGCACTTTCCATGATGACGCACATGCTCATTGCTGTAAGCAATTGTCTGTCCCCTCGAACCTTCCTCTCCCCTCAGGGAAGACATTCATGCTTGTGCACAACTACAAAACCCGCACGCCGTCTCTGCGGAAATTTAATCTGGAGACCTAAAGGTTAAGAGTGAATATTTCATTAATTAAAGAGACACGGCCAACCCAAAACATTACAAGGATTCTACTGCTTGTGCTGCTTCACTGCTCGTATTTCCCAACTGTACTTAAACAGGGAGATCCCTGGAGTCACAGAAACATATAAGATGACAAGGAGGGCGAGGGTGGAAGGTTTGTACAGCCATTGCACATGATGCTATTGCTACTGACCAGCACAAAGGGTATAATGATTTATCCATACAGTGGTAGCTCTCTGAAAATAATGTTAGATAATTGCATCTTCATAGTTTTGACTTAATTGGTTTGCTTTAAATCAGTTTCATATTTAATTATTTGTTAGGGTGGGGTTGTCTGCTAGTGAAGATTTAAGGGTGCCCACATACCTTACGATAATCGTACGATAATCGCGGGAAATCCCGCCATCGTACGATTATCGTAAGGTGTGTGGAGGCCGTGCGACCTCTACTACTGTAAGGTCGCATGACTTTTAACTTACGAACATGTTCGAAAACCCACCGAGCATCGTACGATGTTCGGCGGGTGTGTAGCATGTTCGTAAGATAAAAGCCGGACGGGCCGGTGTGCGCAAGTGCACACTGCCCGTACAGCATTGCGGTCATCGGAAGCCCGCCCCTCAGGGGGGCGCGGCTTGCGATCATCGCAAGTACGATCTGCCTGTCCAAGATAGGCAGATCGTACGTTTTTTTAATTACCTTACAAAAGTCTTGCGACTTGTTTGTAAGGTGTGAACCCAGCATAAGAGTCATCGAGCCTCATAATGATTTGCTACAGAACCCCATTATGCCCAGCCTGCACAGTACAATAATTGGACTCAATCTGCACAATATGTTTCCCCCTGAAGCTCCAATGATTGTTCATATTTAAAAGAAGAAATTCTAGGGACTTCTGGTATTTTAAGGAAACTGTAGGCTGGCACATAGCAATGTCCCAACAGATCTCTATTAAAATATTGGCAAAGTGGTCATATGGGCCATATAGACAGTCTTATAGTTACCTCTCTGTGGGCCATATAGACAGTCTTAGTTGCCCCTCTCAGTGGGCCATATAGACAGCCTTAGCTACCCCTCGCAGTCTTAGTAAAGATGGGGCATCGGCACTCATAATAGTAAATAGTGCGTCTTTTATTGAAGTAAATGCGTCTTTTATTGAAGTAAAAGCTGTGATGGGAGGACGCTAGTTTGTGTCCTCTCGTTACCCTAAGGAGAACTATGGAGAAAAGCCCTAACCCCATAGTTCTCCTTTAAGTATTCCCTTTGCAGGCAAGCAGGGATTACTAAGTCGGTTCATAGGCACACGCGGTCTATTCCTCAAGAGTCCTCCGCAATCCGATTAGAAGGCATTTGGCTGCTCAGCTGCAAATGAAGGTATCAGGAACATTAATTAACACACCCGGGGATTCAGGTTGAGATCTTCTTTTCATGGGCTTTGTTAGGGAAGATTACTGGTGACAGTTTTGGCTTCAGTGGTAATTGGCTGAGAAGTGTCTGTTAGGAATGCTGCAGCTTCAATTGTGAAGCCACAACGTAGCGATGACATGAGGATTAACCAAAGTGTTGATGGGGAGGAAACTGGACAGCCAATGCATAGACAGGGCCTCTTGAAGGTGTCACAAAGAACAGCTTGTGTTGCAATGAATAAGCTTTTATTATTATTCTTTATTTTATTATGATTTATTATGAAATGTTTTTATTTAGTGTGGTTTTTTTGTTGTTGTTTTTTTTAATTTTTTTTTAATTAAAGATGTCAGTTTAAGATGTATTTCCACTTTTGCAGTCAAATTTGAGCAAACCCCTTGATAAGTTTTTAATTCCAATATTTTAATATTAAAGTGAAGGGAAAATTAAAACAGAATACAGTATTATTATCACAGGTATTTGTATAGACAATTTACGCAGCGCTTTATATA